CCCTAGCCCCAAATATAATCCACTCTACAACCCTCATTGCATACTCCTACGGTAAAAATAATGCCCTAAAATATAATACTTTTAGACTATTCTCTCTCCCATAGATTTCAATGCCGTAAACATATTTCATCCAGTTTTTCTCAGTCTGAGGCTGGCATTGGGGTGGGGGTAAGACTGACAAAAAGGTTCTTAAAGGGAAGTTTCTCTTTTGCCTGTGTCCATCTCCCATTCCTGACAGTCAGTAAGCTCACCAGAGCTGGACTGTAAATTCCTTCAGGGTTGGACAGTCCTGACTGGATTTCCCTGGCCCTGGATGCCTTTTGGCTCTGGGGAGTCCTCATTGGTGAAGAGCAGCTTGACAGGGGTTCTTTCTGGCTCAGAGCCATCCCCTAAAATTCCAGAGCAATTCCAGAAGCCTGGGGTGTTATCTACCCATTCTTCACAGGGGCTGGGTTCAGAGAACCCACAAAGTGCTGTAACCCGACAAGGCACTTCCTGTTCTAATTTAAAATTTCTCAAGGTCAGGCAAAATCTGGTTGCGAGAAGAGGGCAAATAAAGATATTATGAGTCAAAGATATGTAATGGAATCTAATGTAAAATGCTGCTAGCAGGAGTGTTCCGAGATTATCAGAGGCATGGCTTCATCTGGGTTCCTCTACTCAAGAATGCACAGGACTCTTGAAACCTGAAAAGACAGGAGGTGATCAGGATTCTCCTTCACTCCCAGAATTCCCTAGCATTTTTATCACTCTTTTTTTCTGCAAGGTTTATACATACCCACACACATGCACACACACTCCTTGTCCACCATTTCCTTTCCTAAGTTCTTCTACCAATTTCTTTTATCCAAACCCCCATTTCTCATCTGCTCACAGTACTTCTGTTTTGGCCCAGTGTTGACATCATGAGGAAAACTGAGATGCGGAGGGACAGCTGAGTACATGAGATGGGCAGTTGGAGATCCTAGACCCCTCTTATTGTACACAGATTCCAGACCCTTTCCTTCTCTCCACCCTGCTGTGCACAGCCAGTTGTCAGATGAACAGCAGACCTCCTGGGAGCTTGTTGGAAATGAACACTCTCCCACTCCCAGCAGGGAGCTCTGATGGAGTGGATAGTCCATGTGGAGTTAATGCTGCCAACCTAAGGCCATGCCTCTCTGGTAATCTGACTCTGTTAGCGGCTCTGAGGGAAGATGATGGGCAGCCACCTCCTGTGCAATTTACAATTTTAGAAACTCAATAGAAGGCAAGTACGTGTAGCTTCTGACTCCACAGCAATCAATTTCTTTACCCAGAAAACTCGGTTATCAGGCTGTCCAGGTAGTTGATGCCCAGGGGATGCCAGTTTGGGAACCTGTACTCTAGAGCTCTAGATGTTGCTGTAGAAGTGCGGTGGCCCAGTCAGTAGAGTTCCATTCCTAACCCAAAGGTGGTGCCTTTCTGGGGGCTCAAATCGCCAGCAGAGGGCAGGAAATGGGCAGTCATTTCCCATGCAATTTACCGCCTCAGAAGTCCACTGGAGGCTCAGCTATGAGTCAGTTCTGACAAGAGGAGCAGTAATGAATACAAGTATGAGGAGAAAATTAATGTAGAGGAGAATGTAAAGAAAATCTCTGCATCTCTCTGCTTTCTTCCTCACATTACTACCTCTCTCATAGTCTTATATGAAGGTAAGTGTGTGTATCCATGATTGTGTATTCACAGATGGCCATGTGCGCACATACCTTGCCTACACTGTTCTTTAAAGCACTGCTCTCAACCTTGGCTTCTTGAACAATTTGCAGAGTTCCAATTTTGAGTCTGAGAAATTCCTGTTGCCTTCTCCCTACTCAATTTCAGCTCTGGCAAATCCTCCTGGTGTGTAGGAACTTCCCCCACCTCCTAGCCAGGAAAACTTGAGGAAACCCATACTCTGTGCCAGCAGCTACAAAGAGAGGGAGCTGGCTCCTGGCTTCTCAGTGTGGAACTCCAGAGTAGAGACAGTGATTAGAACCTAGATTATGATCAGTGACTTCAGTGTGGTGGGTGAATTATGCTATTGTTGACCCACAAGGGAGCATTCTTCCCCTCCACCTCCTTCCCACTTTGTAGCGTTGTTTCTGTGAGATTAGCTCACGCACCTCAAGGTCCTGGCAACCTAACCCAGTGACCCACATCATAGATGGACTGCTTTGAATTGAAGCAGCTGACCTCCAGTAAACTTTTGCATTATGATACTTGCTATCTGTTATTATTTAGAATTTGATTCTCAGTCACAAGTGAAAATTTGTGAGGCCAACTCACCAAGGTTTCTACGCCATTGACATCAGAACTTTCCATGTGGAGGCTGCTGCGTGGTACCTCCTGGGTCAGGCAGGTCATTCACCTTAGGAGAAGGATGGGCACGCAGATTGTGTTTCCAGCAGTGATTCCGACTACTGCCTTTAATGCCCCTTCATAATGGATCACAGAGCACACAGACTGCTTTCATAAGGAGTCAAAGTTAGCTCAGTGCAGTTAGCCTTGTTTTGAGTTATAAAGTGTTTAGTATGAAAGGAGTTTTTAGAACTACAAGAGCCACCAATTTGCTTTCTATCTGCTCACTAGATCAGAGCTATGGCTCAGCTTGGTGTGTTGCTCTGTGTAATATGTACGTGTTCTTCCTCAGCAGAAAATTAAGACCACTTTCTCCTCCAAATGTCTTGAATTTGTTTTGTTTTTATTTCGTTCTTTTTATTTCCGTGAAAGCTTACAGAACAGCATTGTTTTCCATACAATTATCCACAGACATAATATTAACCTCTATTGCAGCAGGAGTCGCCTCCACTTCCTAAACAACATGCCTCCAGAAACTTTATGAACTTTGGTAAATGTCGATAGTGGTAGAGGGGCTTCAGGCCTTTTGTTCATAGGATCGCTGTGAGTCATGCTTGATTCAAAGGCAATCAATACCAACAACAATTAATTTGAGAAGCCAGATAGACTCCATTTTATGTAGCACTCACTCCATTTGAATAGCCTAACCCTGTGTGTGGAAACTTTCTGCCCTAGACCTAAAGTTTAGTCTTGACCCCTTTTCCAAAATAGTAGTTGTTATTGTTTATGTAAACATTTTGCACTGTAGCTTTGATAAACCCAAGATGTAAATGTTTCGTACTGTACCCTTAATAATCCCAAGACAGAGACATTTTGCAATATGTACCTGTGATTACGTCACTGTGCCCTTAGTAATATATCAACAGCAAGATATTGTAGCCTGAGCCCACGTCGCCCAGCATCTAGAGGAGAGTAAGGATATAAAAACACCTACCTGAAGCTAAGAGATGAATCCTGCCATGTTGCTGGGACCCCTCACTGTGCAGCAAATAAATTACCTCACTTATAATCTGGTAGCATGTGTCTCTTGATCTGTTGGGCACAACAAGTTAACGTAAGTGATATCAGTCTAGCCCTTTATTGTTTATTGCTTTCCCCTTCTCTCAGCATTTCTATTTATTAATTTTTATTCCCCTCACCCTCCATTCACAGTCATGTCTGAATTTATTTGGGTGAATAAAAAGATTTGAGAAAGCTGCTTTGATTGTTGAGAGTTTTAGTGAACCTTGAAATCAGAGACCTAGCTAGTTCTAAAATACGTCCAGCAGTGAGGAGATGATCTGTCCACATTTGGCCAGACTAAGTCCTTTAGATGATAAAGGATGGTACTTTTCTGTGTTCTTCGGGTCATGATGCACCTTTTAATAAGGACAGCATTTTACGGCACCTGGGGTACAACGGCGAGACAGCTGTCCACCGGAGTCACTTTGACCTGCTCTTCAGAGTCTGGTTCTTCCCTTGAGCTAAGAGGGTTGATATCTCACAATATGCTTGTAATCATCTGTGGCCATAGACTTATCCTGGGGCAGACGCTCTGCAGGTGGCCCTGGAAGGTTCCCAGTGACTGTAAGATTAGGAAGAGGTATCCAGGAGCATTTTCTGCGCTACATATGTTCTGCATCAACTCCATCCAGTACAGTGACCACTATCCCCTGAGTCCTTGAAATATGACCAATAACAACTGAAACATGACAGTGCATCTTTACTTTTATTTCATTTCCATTTAAATAGCCACATATATCTCATTGCTAGTATCTTGGAAAATAGCAGCAATTCTAGGCCTTTCCTGATGAGTCGAACTAGATGTCAAGTGTTCTGTGTACAACTCCTACGGGTTGAGTGGACTTTTGATTCTTTATTGTTTTCTTTGTGGTTTTAATTTTCCAGAGAAGCCACAAACATCCTTCTCTTCCGTACAGCTTAGATTCTCAGCAGCATTATATGCTTGTTTCTTGCAGACATCAGACAAGGAGATGTTCAGCCGTTCTATCACAAGCCTGGCAACCGATGCTCCAATCAGCAGTGACCAGAATGGAGCACTCACCAATGGTGACAGTAAGTTCTGTAAAAACGCCACCTTTCCACAGAAGCTTCAACACCTCAGGATGTTACTAGCATGCAACCTGCCCCCACCCTCAAGAAATGGATTCTTGTTCACCTCTACTATTACTACCAGTTTTAGGGAAAATATTCTCAGTTAGATGAAAAATAATAACTATTTGCAAATGATAGTAAGAAAACTTTTTTATAAATAATCTATTTTTATTTGTTATATTTGTTTGCTTACAAAGTTTGTATACATTATGTTACAATCATTCCCATTCAAGTAATAAATAACTTTTACTCATTTACCTTTTTCTACCAGGAGTTACACTAAATATTGCATATGTGCTACTTTCTTACCCCAACAACAATCCTTATGTGCCCAGTCTCAAGTCATTAGCCCCATCAAGTATGGTATTCATCCAGCTGCTGGTCCTACCGGTCACTCTCTCTACCCACAGGAAGTAATGAAAGTAACTGTGGCCAAATTTAAAGCCAAAGTAATTTGTCCCTGTTACAGTGGAAAGATGTAATTGACAACTTTGGTGTAAAACTGTGATTAAAGTAAGATCCTCAACTGCCAGACAGTCTTACATCTAAAACCTGCATCCTAGAGTCTAACAAATAGTAAGCCTCTTTATTTAAAGTAACTGTGCATAGTCTGATGCTCTTGAATGGCTGTTTGACTAGTTGTCCTCTCCACTTTTAACACTTCTGCTGTTTTAGTTCTTTCAGAAGACAGCACCATGACCTGCATGCAACATTACGAGGAAGTACAGACCTCAGCCTCTGATCTGCTGGACTCCCAAGACAGCACAGGGAGGCCTTCAAAATGTCATCAGAGTCGCGAGCTGCCCAGGATTCCTCCCAACAGCACAGTGGACACGATGCTGAATACGAGAAGTGCAGATGGGGACCAGGGTCTAGGAATGGAAGGCCCATATGAAGTGCTGAAGGATAGTTCCTCCCAAGAAAACATGGTGGAAGACTGCTTGTATGAGACAGTGAAGGAAATCAAGGAGGTGGGAGCAGCTGGACACCCGGATAGAGTCCACAATGGCAAGTCCAAGTCCACTACGGCCTTGAAGGAACTTCCAGAGCCTCAGGCCCAGGACAAAGCGGAGTTTGCTGAATATGCCTCAGTGGACAGAAACAAAAAGTGCCGGCAAAGTGTGAATGCAGAGATTGTCCTTGAAAGTTCACAAGAACTGGAAGAGGAAGCCCCACCGCCTGTCCCTGTGAAACTTCTAGATGAGAATGAAAACCTTCAGGAGAATGAAGAGGGAACAACAAAAGAAGGAAGCACCGAGGGGACCCCAGAAACAAACAAGGTGAGCCCTGGCTTTTTATTTTGTGTGCTTCTGTCCTGACTAGAATCGAGCTAATCTTGGGGCTTTTATTTTCACATTGTTGTGGGAAATAAAACTAAGCATTTCCTAGTTTGCTGAGTGGGGTAAGATGGGGCTTTTCTATTTATTTTTTTATCATTCATAAACATTGTTTTCATGCATCTACATTGTGTTCCATACAGTCCTCCTTTACATTATATTTTGGTCGTTTATGTTGGAGGCGGCGTGTATTCCTCCTTTATAATCATCCCACCAACAACTACTTTCATGAAAGTGTGCAAGCAGCTACTTCATGCCTCATGCCCTAATATCCACCGTTTTAGATAGCTAATTGCTGTTTGTCCATACCTATCAAATCCGTGCTCTGAGGAAACAAGCACGTCCCTTTTGCTAAAGGATCCTATGTTCAACTTGGAAACTTTGAGCATCTGCATACATAGCGTCATCTAGTCCAGATCAAGCCAGCAGGTTGCAGCAGCCCAAGTTCACAGCATGGATCTTCTCTTCATCTGGTTGGGTTCTGGTCATCTCATCCCCAGCCACCTGTGGCTGGGTTTAAACGGGCATCAGCTATGGGCTCAGGTGTCCACAGTCCTCCCTGCATGCCAGACCTCTTGGTCTCGTCACTCAAGCCTAGCCGCCACATGGGTTCAAGTCAACAGGTCCTCATGGCTCCCTGCTCCTTGAGCCAGCAGCCCTTCCCTGCCCATCCATGCATCTGTGCGTGCTAGATGGGCATCGTTGAAGGAACATGCTCATCTCAGCCTCGTTCTCCATTGTTGTATTCCTCCCGCCTCCACTCTTGTGGAGCCAAGTGATTGATATACTCCAACCTCAAGTCTTGGAGGTGGGCTCTGATGGGTGCTACCTTTCCCCTGCCTCAGAAGCCAAACAGCTTGTTCCAGTTATAAAAAGACAGTTTCTTCCTGGAAAAGCTGTTTTAATGTAAGTTGGGTGTGATTTTAGTATAATTGGGTAAGGAGTTGTGCTGTCAACTCAAATGTTCAAATGCACCAGCTGCTCCGTAGCAACAAGATGGGCAATCTCCAGTCTTAGAAAGCCCACTGGAGGGTCAGCTGGGACTCAGTTCTGACTAAAGAGAAATGAGTTGAGTTTGCGGAAGAGGTAAATTAGTGAAAACCTATGTTTCTAAAATATTTCTCTCTCAACATCTTACTTGGCTATTTTTCCTTTTCTCAACCAAGCCTGAGATGTCAAGGACCAAGAATTAAGTGGAAAGACTATACTCTTGACCACACCCTCAACCTCTTCTGCATCAGGCTACCTCAAGCATGGTGATTTTTACCCTTCATGACCCCAGAAAGTAAAGCATGGCACATGTTCAGAGTGACCCACCTCGTGCTACTACTGGTTATAACTTGTTGTTAATTCTGTTATTTACCATCAAGTCAGAGCCGGCTCCTAGCTGACCTTCCAGCAGGTTTTCAGAGGCAGTAAATTGCACAGGAGGAGATTGGCCATCCTTCTCCCATGGAGATTCGAGCCATGTACCTTTGGGCTGGCAGCAAATTCCTTACCACTCAGGCCACCTCATGATATATAAAGCAGTTGCCTTTTAGTTGATTCCTACTTAATGGTAACCCCGTATGTGTTGGAGTAGAACTTGTAGCCCATTGCATTTTCATGAACTAATTTTCCCAGAGATCACCAAGCCTTTGGGTAGACTTGGCACCTCCAAACTTTAAATTAGAAGCGAGCGACCTCGCACCCCTCTCCCCCATTAACCATTTACTACCCAGTGATTCCTTGATTATATGTACTTTTATATGAACCAGGTAAATAGTTTAACTTTTCAGTAAGTTCTAAACAATGACCTATAGCTCTAGAAATGTTGTTGAGTATCTTCGCATAATGGGCCACAGTTTCTGCTCTGGCCTTGGTGACTCTGTCTCTGTGTATCTGGCAGTTTGATGTATGAGCTACAGTAATTTGAACTTCACATTTCAAATCATCAAAACTCGTCTTGGATTTAACCAAGCATAGTCTTCTTCAAGCAACCAAGATCCAGTTTTCCTCCTCTACCCAGAAAACACCAAAGTCCTCTTAATTTCGTTTTAGTAGGAAGAGCAAGTAGTAATTATCTGTAGTGGTTTTAGAAAACGTCTGGTGTTCAACATAAAAAGATAAACCTCGACTGTGCATCCATAGGTAATTCCAAAGAAGTCCCTGGGTAGTTTTCACTTTTTTGTAGTGCTCTGAAAGTAACAAATGCCCTTATTATCTATGGTGTCTGCTATTGAGTATACCACCCTTCTATGAGAAATAGAAATTAATTTCCAATATAAAAAGTTTTGAACACAATTATAAAATGCAAAAACTACAATAACTTCTTAAAACTGAGAACAAAAAGTCACCCAGGAGACGATTCCTCATCTTTCTAACATGGAGCAGCTGATAGATTCAAACCACCTGCCTTTGGTTTAGCAGCACAACCCTTTACCCACTAAGTCACCAAAGCTCCATGTGTAACTGAAGGTACTAAACCAGTTCAGTCTTTCTGCTGCCTGAAACAGTCAAAGCTTTTTACTTATTCTTACTTGAAAGATAGCAGAGCTGATTGTGTAATCACTCTAATAAACAGTTCTGCACGTTTTCATTAGAAACTAGAAACATTAATATAAGAATAAGATTACTTTTTTACAGAATAGTAAAATGAGTAATCTGTCATCTCCAAATAAGCACCCACATTTTAAGACATTTGGAGTATTATAAATGTTTATTGTTTGTTCATTCTTTCAATAAGGATATTTCACTAGGTACCTATTGTATATTATGCATTCTTCTAGGTTCTGATAAGTGAACAAAACATATATGTGAGTGAAAATCCCTTCCCTTGTGAAGTTTACACCTTACTAAGGAAAAATCAGCATAAACATGATACAGAAATCAATTGTATGGAATTTCAGAAGATTTTTAAATGGTTGGTTAAAAAGACAACAGAATAAAAGCCAATGTAGGGTAGAAATAGAAGCTTGAATAAGATGTTTAGGGTTAGATGAGAGAGTGGAGTGGGAATGTTGTTGTTAAGTGCCATCGAGTCATAGACGACTCATAGCGACCCTATAAATGAAAGACCTGAACACTTCTATAACTTTCATCATTTCTCCAAGTTCATAGTTTCCGGAGGCAAGCTATTTCAGAAGTGAATGCCACTCCTGCTTCCAAGCTTGTTTTAATCAGGACGCTTCACCAAACACTGTCCACCATGGGTAACCATTATTGCATTGTTATTGTTATTGTTTCGTGCCATAAAGTCAGCTATAGTCCATAGCGACCTTATGAGCAATGGCTTTGAACCTTGCCCTATCTTGAAACAACTTCACCACCATCTCTGACACACCTGACCCCGTTGCCTGACCACAATGACTAAGGATGATGGAAGAAGAATCAATGCCTTTGAGTTGTGGTGCTGGAGAAGAGTGTTTCACATACCATGAACCACCAAGAAAACAAGCAGTTCTGTTTCAGAGAGGATGAAACCAGGCTGCTCCTTGGAGGCAAAGTTTTTAAACTCCATTTCACCTACTTTGGGCATGTTGCCCAGAGGGACCAGTCCTTAGAGAAGGACATCATGCTTGGAAGGGTTGAGGGACAGCGCAGGAGAGGAAGACCCTGGACAAGGACCATAGGGAGCAGCAGAGATTAAAGAGTCATTTTAGGATCGTATTCAGCAGTGTTTGTAAGGACTCACATTTTTTAAATCACCAAGACTTAAAACAGGAAGTGAGTTAGAGACTCCATGAGTGAGGAATCCGAGTCCCTGAAAATGAAAGGGAAGAGAAGCCATTCTGGGATAGTAGGTGATAGAGGTCACAGTAGGAGTCAACAGGGAAAAGAAGAAGGGTATTCTGGGAAAGACAAGAGGCCACCTCCTGGCTGCAGGTGCAAGGGGCCCAGAAGAAAAACCAACCACCTGAAGAGGACTGCTGGGGAATCAGTGCCCTGCCAGGCTTTTGTTAGTATAAGAATACTAAAGCTAAACCACATAAGAGAATGCAAATATGTTGGAGTTTTAAAAAAAATAAATGTGGCCTTATATATAGTACTTTTTTCCCCTTAGTATGTTGTTTCATAAGTTCCAAATTAATTATTTGGCATTTGTCAAGTTTACACATTTCAGATTCTTCACAAATAGCATAATTTTAGCTTTTCCTTAGGATTTTTTACTTTTCTTCAGAAAGTGTGAATAGCACCTTAAGACATGATTAATTTAAAAAATGAAATCATCCAGAGCCTAGATAAATGTGTTTGTATTAGAGCTGATGTAAAACATATGACATTATTTTAAGCACTCAAGAATATTATCTAATTGTATCTCACAACAAGAGTTGGGATTTAAAAAAAAATCATTCCTAGACGTTTTTACAAATGAATATATTACTTTAAACTTATCACCCACACCAGTGAAAGTTAATTCTTTATGAGGACAGGAACTTGACATATGTGGTTGACACTTTGAAGACTTAATTAAGAATGATACCCAAAAGGTAACATTTAATTTCAGTCTATTTAGAGTCACTGCTGCAATGGGCTCTTGTTCTTCAGGAGGTGTGAGGACAGCGAATGATAGAACAGGGTTCAGATCTTTTGTTCAAAGGGTCACCAAGAGTCGTATTCAACTTGACAGCACCTAACAACAACAACAATTTAGGGGGATAAGAGGCCCAACTAAAGGGGCAGCAGATGTTGTCAGAGCTTAACTGCACAAGCCTATCGAACATGGGTCCGGGGCTGGCTTTTAAAGATAATAATGATGGGCACAGTCCAATGGTGATTAAACATAATGCATGGGAGTAACTGTATGACACAGGGTGAATGAAGAATGGTGTAAAACACAATGTGTACAAACTTTGTAAGCAAAGCAATATAAAATACATTTTTTATAAAAAAATATAGAACTACAGCATCCTTTCAGAAAGTCATAAATGAATGGCTACTTTTAATGTTTTGGACTATGTCCATTGATTGTGTTAAGTTCTCTGAATTGAGCTATACAGTCAAAGGAGAATAAATATGGGAGTTTTACATTAATTTTCACTGCCATTTTTCCATCTGTTCCATTTGTGATACCAACAAAATATGGTTTTGCTTTCATCTTTATCCAGCTAGATACTTGTCAGATCCATACATTAAAGCACTTGATTCTTATGTTGTGGTTATTATAAGCCATCAAGCTGGAACCAAATCATAACTAGTCCTGCAGTAGGTATTCAGAGGCTATAAATGACACAAAGGAAATTTCTCATCTTTGTGCCATAAAACAGCTGGTGAATTTGAACTACTTACCTTTGGGTTGACAACACAACTCCTTACCCACTAGGTCACCAGAACTCCCTTTTTTATGTGGTAAGAGGGGGTGGGGAGATCCAAAACGCAACTAAAAACCTTCTTGTGATACTCAAGGCTCTGTTGCTCAATATTTTCCACTTTTTTTTTATTAATTTAGGTTGTTTATTTTTCATTTCAATGAACATCTACAGAGATTTTGGAATTCCATTCATTCATTGTTGC